CTCCATCCTTAGGTATTTTTAGTCTGAAAGGCACAAATGCATCACTGAGCTATGAAAGGAAAGCTCCCTGCTGCTCTCCATGTCAGGGGCTTCGGAGCAGTGCTGTGCCTGTGGGCACCTATATCCAGGTGGAGGAAAACCACGTCCCTTTAGCTGGAGGAGACATCACTGGCAGGGACACCTTCCCCTATCCCAGGCTGCTCCAAGCCCTGTCCATCCTGGCCTTGGACACCTCCAGGGATCCAGAGACAGCCACAGCTTCTCTGGGCAACCTGTGGCAGTCTCACCACCCTCAGAGGGAAGAATTTCCTTCCCAATATCCCATCTAAACCTGTTCTTCTTCAGTTTAAGTCCAACCCCCCTTGTGAAAAGCTCCTCTCACAGCAGATCAGCTGCATTTGCCCTCTGCTCAAGGCATGGAGCAAGTTCTCAACACAGGCTGCCAAGCAGAGATGGGCTCTGGTGGGACCCCACGCCCCCCTTCCCACACGGACAGGAGCTGAGGGCAAAGGAGGAGCAGCTGGGATGGTTGGGTTGGAAGACTCTGGATCTGTGCTAATCCAGGAAAACACAAACATTCCTTTCCCTCTAATGTTCAGACTTGCTGGAAGCATGAAGAGGGCAAAGAAGAGGACAGAGACCCAAGCCAGACCCTGTTCCAGTGCCCAGCTGTGCCAGAGAGGTTCAGCTCCACCACCACGGGACTGTGAACAAACCCAGCTGAGCCACGGCAATGCTGGGCTCCCCTCCTTCCTCTGCTCCTCCATCCGTTTTGCATTATTAAATCCACTCCCATCTAACAGGATTTTATGTCATGGTTTTTCCCCAAAGTGGGAAAAAAGGAAACAGGGGTGTCAGGTCACGCAGCAGCACCATTAAGCAGGAGGCTGCTACGCTGCCGTGGGTCTGGAGCCTCTTTAGCATTTTCATTAGCTCTCCAAAGCTTTTGATGTCCCTTATTTACGACACAGACACTGCAGAGGAGGCAGGCAATGATTAAGATGAGCTTTTACTCTTCTGGAGTGCGCCGGGTACCTCGTGGCTACGGACCCTGCATATAAAGCAATATTGCTTATTATTCTGAGCTGTTTGTTCCATTAATCATGAGCCTGCTTTGCTCTGGGAAGAGGAATTGGAATACAGCAATATTCTGTCTGCTTGTTTTTAAAATACTTGTGTGGGTGGACACTCCAGCTACTGCTCACATTTTTCTCTTGCAAGAAGAGCTGTTCGTGATTCTCCTCCCCAGTGTTTTCTCCTGACACTGATTTTGTTCGTCGAACTCAGGAGGGGAACTGCCTCAAGCCTGTCAACGAGTGTTGTATGGAAATAAGGAGTACTGACTGAGAAATGCTTGAAATTCTGCATCCGAGAGAGGAAAAGGATTTCTTCATGCGAAGGGTGGACATTGGATGGGCTGCCCAGGGAGGTGGTGGAGTCCCCATCCAAGGAAGGTGACACTCAGTGCCCTGGGCTGGGTGACAAGGGGGGAATCGGACACAGATTGGACTTCATGGTCTTGGAGGGCTTTTCCAACCTCAGTGATATCACGATTCTGTGGTTCAGTTCAAAGTCACTCACTGCCCTCGCAGTCCCAGCCTTCACCAGCCACCCAGGCAACAGCAGGTCTGGGGACTCCTTCAGGATATCCCAGAGGGAATTTTCAGAGTGTTCAACTCATGATCCTGAGAAGACACTATGGAGCCATTAAGAGCAACTCAACAAGTTGTGTCAGCATCTTCTATGACCTTTTCTCACCACATCTGACCTCATGAAGAGCCTTCCAGAAAACCAGAGAGTTCTCGGGTAGAGCAGAGGAAGAAGGGAACAAAACAACCAACTTGATAATTATTAGTGAGTTCCCATCCAGCTCTCCAGACATGGACAATGCGTCAGGGCATGTCTCCAAGCTGAAAGGTTTACAGGATACATAAACAGCTCCATAAAACAAACGTTGTCACCAGCTCCTGGAAAAGCACCGCTGGAAACAGCAGGTAAGGCCAGAGCAGCTCCGTGAGACAGCAGAGCTGCTTCTTCATTGCTGACAGATGGCTTCACCTGAATGTCCTTCATTGAAAAATCAACTGAAAAACTACAGGTCTGCTGCTTTTCTAACCTGCACTTATTCAATCCTTCCAACCCTTCCAACATATACGCTCACTCCAAAACACAGCATCCACTCCAAGGAAATGAATTTCCCTTCCTATAAGAATGAGAGATTGCACACACGCAAGCCAGGTTAGTTCAGTTCATATGGAAACAGCCAATTATATAATTTATTTATTAATACAGTTTTAATTTACAGTACAATTGAGCTGCACACCCAAGACATAGATTATTTACAGAGCATGAAAGGCAGACACGGCAGGTGTCCCTTGTTCCCCAGCTGGTTTGGGTTTCTAAACTGAGACACCCCCAGGAGCACCCCAGCATCTCCATTGCCACACAGCCTTGGTCTCATGGCAACCAAAGGAAGCTTCGAATCATGGAATTGTTTAGGTTGGAAAGGGCCTCTGAGACAATCCAGTTGAATCATTCCTCCAGCACTGCCAATGCCACCCCTGACCCATGCCCCCAAGTGCCACATCCACAGGGATTTTAAACCCCTCCAGGGTATGAGGACTCCATCCGTGCCCTGGGCAGCCCCTGCCAAGCCCTGACCCCCTGTCCATGGGGAAATTCCTGCTGTGCCCACCCTGAGCCTGCCCTGCCCAGCCTGGGGCCGTTCCCTCTGCTCCTGTCCCTGTTCCTGGAGCACAGCCCGACCCCCCGGCTGTCCCCTCCTGGCAGGAGCTGTGCAGAGCCACAAGGGCCCCCTGAGCCTCCTGTGCTCCAGGCTGAGCCCCTTCCCAGCTCCCTCAGGGATTCTCCTGGGTGCAGGAATGCCTGAGCCTGTTTTGCTCCAATGGATTGTTGCTCTGACAGATCCCAGCCCTCAGAGACCTCCACACCCCGCACAGAGAACACACAGCAGTGCTAATGACACATTCCAGAACATCCTGGCTGTGTGAGTAATTGCAGATCCTTTGCACAGGCATCTCCATGAAGGCAGTGGGAGTTGTAGAGACATTATTAGGTCTCCTGACATTTTAAAAAGGCTTAGACAGAAAACTTCTTTGAGGGGTTTCAAAGGCTGCAATGGAACTGAAATAGTATTTGTAATAATAACCAAACAACCCACGAGGAGCTTTGTGTAACCGCTTGGACATGAGAGAACAGAGAGAGAAAATCCATGCACAAAGCCAGGGAGGAGAAAGGAAGAGTTATGTCCAAGCAAAGCCACCAGGGCTGCTCCCCTGGCCACCCCAGAGAGGTCACACACAGGGGACAACACCAGCCAGCACCACAGGTCCAGCACTGGGAGCTTGGGGGTTCCCTTCACCAACAGGGAAAATCAGGAGCAGAGCCTCTGGGCTGATTTTGGCAAATGAGCATTACCTTTTGGACAGCTCCAAACCCTCCTGAAGTTGGGTTTCTGAAATCATAATTAATGAAAATCGTAAGTTTTTCTGCTGAATCAAATGGTGTGAGGGCTCAGATGAAAGCGGGGCAATCTCTCCTGGCACGCATGGAGCCATCTGACCCCATGAGTGCGTAGGCACAGCCTAAGGAGGCTGGAAAAGCTGCTCAGGGACAGCACAGGAGACAAGGGAGCACCAGGTGCCAAGAGTTGTTCAAATCTCATATATTCACATGGATACAAATGTCATGGGTTTGTGTATTAGCCTGCAACATGAACAAAGGTGTCTGGGAAAAAAGACCATTCTATAGCACCTTCCATTGAAACCCAGACTGGTTTGGGTTGGGAGGGACCTTAAAGCTCATCCCATTCCACCCCTGCCATGGCAGGGACACCTTACATTACCCCAGGCTGCTCCCAGCCCCAGTGTCCAGCCTGGCCTTGGGCACTGCCAGGGATCCAGGGGCAGCCACAGCTTCTGTGGGAAGTCCTGTGCCAGGGCCTCCCCACCCTGGCAGGGAACAATTCCCAATTCCCAATCTCCCATCCATCCCTGCCCTGTGTGGGCTGTGGGAAGCCATTCCCCCTTGTCCTGGCTCTCCAGGCCCCCATGTTTCTCACAGGCTCCCCTCAGGTCATTCTCAGCACGGATACTTTCACAGTAAGAGCCTGAAAGCCTCCAGCACCTCCCGTTCCATATTGTGTTCACCTTCAGCAATGAAATCACTTCACTAGAAAAGTGCTATAAAAAGTAGCAATTCCTCTCCTCCCGAGTCTCATGTGTCGAGATGACGTTGCTGAGTAAAAATCAAACCTGCGGTGCAACACTGAGGTCTTACAGTCTTCTGCTTGGGTTAGAACACACCCAAAATAGGAGACAGAGTCGTGGAATTATTTAGCTTTGAAAAGCCCTCTAAGACCATGGAGTTCAACTGCTCCCCAGCACTGACCCACATCCCCACCTCCACATAGCTTTTAAATCCCTCCAGTCCCTTCATTCACATGAAGTGTCTGCCAAAAGTTCTCGTCAGAGAGGGGTTTGCTTCCAGGTGTAGCTGCTCCTTCCCCAGGCAGTGTTGTCTGAAGTGACTCGTCCCAGGTCTCAACTAAACCCTGGGTAACTTGTATGGAGGGGGGAAAATAGATATCTGATAGAATTCTGATAGAATTCGGGAAAAGGAGCTTCAGACAGCAAAACCAGGGTGGTGGTTGGGCAAGGAGAAGACAACCAGCTTCTGCATCAAAGGGCGCTCAGAACCTCCCCGTTACCTTCATCAGGAGGCAGCTCCTGCTCAAGGACACCAAGGATCACTCCTGCTCTGGGAGTGAGAGCACGTGGAAAATCCTGCCCCAGAGAACAGAGGAAGTTGGGAATGAAAAAGTAAAGCAGGAATGAAAGCCTGATTTTATGCAGCTGTAATCACTCCCAGAACTGCACAGTACACAGGGAAACTTCACTTCTGCCATGCAAAAACTGCAGCTTTGCTGGGCAAGCCAGTCTGTCAATCAAAAATTTAGGCACGCAGAGCCACACACATGCTCATTTTCAGAGGAAATGCCTCACTTTGTTAGAGATTTGCTCTGGTCAATAGACTCCTGAAAACAATTTAACTCTACACATTATAGATGATTTCCTCTGAGTTAACAGGCTGGAGATATTTAAAAACTGGCATGTACTCACAAGAATACAGAGATTTGCTCTGACAGACATTTTTTTCCTCTGGAAAACTTCTTACATTAAAAACTTCTGGTCATAGGTAATTGCTAACATGGAACATTTATTGGTTTAAAAAAATAAACATGCAGAAGCCATCCTCCTTAAAAACAACACAGACAATTACCCAGTGGGGATTTTAGAGGAAAGCAACAACCCTGCAAGGCGTGGATTCCTCCAAAATCTCCAGCAGAAATGTATTTTCTGTGGGAGTCCACGCTCCAGCTGTGCCGTGCAGCGAGTCCAGCCAAAAGCAATCACATTACAGAGCATTTGCCTTGCAGTTTATCTTTCTTTTTCTGCTGTTTGGATTTCTTTCCATCCACCTGGAGACTGATAGTTCTCCTCTGCTCCAGATTCAAGAGCTCCTGGAAGAGCTCCTGCACGTTGTAGTTCATTTTGGCTGATGTCTCCATGAAGGCACACTTCCACTTGCTGGCCAGCGCCTGCCCCTCGCTGGCATCCAGCTCCCTCTGCGTGTCGTCACTTTTGTTCCCCACCAACATTATCGGGATTTTCTGGATGTCGCCTTTGATCTGACAAATCTCATCGAAGATGGGGTGAAGATCTTCCATGGATTGCCTGCTGGTGACGGAGTACACCAAGATGAAGGCATGCCCTTTGGATATGGAGAGCCGCTGCATGGCAGGGAACTGGTGGCTGCCCGTGGTGTCCGTGATCTGCAGGGTGCAGATGCTCTTGTCACAGCTGATCACCTGCCGGTACGTGTCCTCGATGGTGGGGATGTAGGTTTCCCTGAAAGTGCCCCTCACAAAGCGCAGGACCAGGGAGCTTTTGCCGACCCCCGCTGCTCCGAACACCACCACCCTGTAATCATTGCTCTGCTCTGGCATGTTCGCTGCGCCGAGAAGCGAGGGGAGGTTTTCACACAAAAAGCCCGAGTTCCGCCAAGTTTACACACCCCTATGCAGAGGTGGGCTGGGGAGAGGGAGGGGGAAAGGGTGCGTTATTGAACTCCGCAATTAATAAATCACTCCCATCCTTTTGCCGTGAAATAAACCACTGTTCCTCCCTACCCCAGCCATGCAGCCCATGCAGGTTTAACGCTACGAGAAGAGAATAAGAATTCACCTGCAGCCATCAGCTCCACCGAGCAGAAAAACGGGGCTGAAACCGCCTGGCAGCCGCGGGGAAGAGGTATTCCGGCTCCAGGGAAGCCGTGCTCCAGCCCCGGGAAAGCCGCGCTCAGCCCCCGGGAAGGCGTGTTCCAGCCCCCGGGAAGCGGTACCACCCTCGCCCGGAGCGCCGCCGCCGCCGCGGCAGGGGAGGGGAGGCTCCGCGCCTTCGTAAATCCAGCCTTCCACTCAACCGCCCCGTGAAAATAAATAAATAATCAGCACGACCGCCCGAATTAAAGCTGCAGCCGAGCTCCGCTGCTCCATCCCTCACTCCGCGCACGAAGGCGAGTCTCGCCCTCCCTCAGCCCCCGCACCGCAGACCCCCAGGAGCTGCCGGGCTCTGCCGTCTTTCATCCACCCTGCGCACCTCCCAGCTTAAATGTAGGGCTGATTTAATTTAAAAACTTCAAATCCGGGTCAGGTTTTCGTCCCCACTGGCATTAAGCGGGGCAGAGATGCCCTGAGCAGCTTCTCAGCCCTCGGTAAGCCACCGAGCCCTGCGGCCATGGTCAGCAAGGTCCACTCAGGACCTTCTCCGTGTAATCCTTTCCAACTCGGGACATTCCGTGATTCCACTGTTTGGTTTGTCTCCCTCACACCGCCGGATGAAATAAGAGTAGTTGTGTGCCACAATCACAAGCCATATTTCCCCTCGTTTATTAGGAATTTCCCCCAAAGAAGTCTCTCCAAACGCCCTCATGAGGGGACACGGGAGCTTACACCACTCGCTGCCTGACGGGCAGGCGGCCGTGTGTCCCCACTGTTCCACCTCCGGCATGGCCGGGGAGGAGAGCTATCCCCGGTTCTTCTCAGCCGCCGCCTCGGGCTAGGCTCTGCCCTCACGGCCCCTTCCCGCCCCGGGCTGGGCTCGGCTCTGCCCTCACGGCCCCTTCCCGCCCCGGGCTGGGCTCGGCTCGGCTCTGCCCACACGGTACCTTCCCGCCCCGGGCTGGGCTCGGCTCTGCCCTCACGGCCCTTCCCGCCCCGGACTGGGCTCGGCTCTGCCCTCACGGCCCCTTCCCGCCCCTTCCCGCCCAGGCGCCGCCCGCCCTCACAGCCCAAAATGGCCGTCGGCGTCTGAGGGGATCGGTCTGAAATCAGTGCATTTTATTAATTGTTTCTGTTTGTGGGTCATCTGCGTTGCAAAATGTGGGATATGTAAAATTTCCTTAAGAAAGGATGGTTTTTTTTGAAGTTTGATCTTTGTAGACTTTCAAGCCTAATCAACAAAAAGTGAGATTGAATCTGTGAAACAGCTGACAACAAGCTCTAAGTGATGCCCGTGTATTAGAAAAAACAAATTATAGAATTGGTAGACAAAAGACGATTGATAGAATTGTTAAGGTTAGGACCGGACACGTTTCTCTGCTCTCAGACCTGGGGGAGTTGAACAAAGCTTGGGAAGAAGGATGAGCCATTGATAGTGGGCACAGGGAATGCAGGACTTATGGACCACAAGGACATCTGGCACAACTCCCAAGATCAGGAAGAAATTAGTAAAAACAACTCAGTAACTGTGCTGAAATCAGCACTTGTGGAGGAACACTTCCCAGTCCTTCCCCAAGCTCATTCTTCCCAAACCATTTGTGGTTTTCTGGGTTATCATTTCTTATTTCTCTGATCCTTGTTGTGCTCCTAACGCTGTGGTGTTCTCCTATTATAAATCCACTTCTATCAGCCTTGTAATGCTTCTATCCCAGACCAACACAAAGTATCACTTTAGATCCATTTCATACTGCTGTGGAGGTTTTTGTCTAACACAAAGGAAAAAAAAATCCCAGAGAAGTTTCAATGGTGACATGAGGCCAAAATATCTGGGATAGAACTTGGACCAAATCCATCCCCATGCAAGGGGAACTAAACCTGAGACCCTAAAAACAAAATGGCCTCTTTAAAACCAGGCATCCATTTGTACTGAGATGCTTTGAAAGTCTGAATTAATAATGTCTGAATGTCTGAATTAATAATGATAATATTAATGAAAACAGGGGAATAAAGCAGAACTGTGAAAGTCCACTAATCAACATTAGTGGGGTCAACATGGGGTCAGGGATCACCCCTCACCTTCCTTTTGCTGTAAAAAATTCCTGTTCATCTCGCATCTGCTTTTACGGTTCCTGTCTCTCCAGGCAGGATGACTTGCCTGTGGCAAGGCTCAACCTGCAAGCCATTCACTTTGCCTGAATCCCATCATAATTGGGGATTTTCAGAGCAGATTTACAAACCGTCATTTCTGGTGTTTATGGGGTATTGCTAAACCTTCATTCCTGGTGTTTATGAGGTATTTATTAGCCACAATGAAATGCTGGCTAGGAATGAGTAGCTAATTCGCTCTCTGTGCTAGCCACTTTTGCTCAGTTATCCCATTTTCAGATATTTTCCAAGCTTTCCAATGGCTCTTTCTAAGAGGTGTTTTATTTAAACCTCCAGATCTAAAGTCTGAATCTGGGATTGATTTCCTATAATAGGCTGTGACAAGGGAAGGACTCTAAGAGCTCTTGCACAGCGTGGTGTCAGGTGCTAAGTGGGAAGCAGACCCGTGACACGTCCATGTGCCCACCGCAGATCAAAACCTTCCAAAAATAAATCTGTTGCTGCTTATTTTACCCCAAAAAGTGCTCTGACGCTGTCCTGTCGAGAGCAGGTGACTGTCATTATAAGCAGGACTGGAGCTGCTCTCCTGCAGCTCCGTCTCCTGCCGTTCTGTCCCCAGCAGTGCACCCCGTCCTTCACCGCCATCCCAACAAAATCCCAGGAAACAGCTTTGGGCTGCAGGCTTTGGGGTGGGAGAGTGTCCCACAACACACGGATTGTTTGGGGGCTGCTGGAAGCGGGTTTAAACCCGGCAGCTCCCTCTGCCTGCCTAGTGCTGACAGGCTCAGGCGGCTTTTCCCATCCCTGCCTGTTCTCAGGCCCGACACACCAAGCTCCAGGGACAGCCCGGGCCCCCAGCAGCACCTTGCAGGCGGTTGTGGCTCCCTGACATCACCAAATTCCCCGATTTCCTTGCCGAGGGATCGCTGGTGTGCGCTCGGTCCAGCCGGAGCCGGGTTCTGGAGGCAGCAGGTGGCAGCAGAGCCCTGCCAGGGCAGGATGCGCCCGGGAAAGGAGCTTGTGCCAGCGGGTGGCGGTGCTACAGGCACTGAAATCTCATTTATTCGCTCTTTTGACACTCCTTAGGTCCCAAAGAGCTGCACTGCCTGTGGCCTGGCTGGAGCCACGGGCTCTGCCTGAAGCTCACACCCTCTCAGGTGCTGTTGTACCCGGGCAGCCCCTCCTGCAAGGGGTCTTCAGGCTCTTGATGCTGAACTTCGTCTGTTTTCATCAAATTTTCCACTACTCCCCGAGTGCAAGTCAAAGAATTATGGCATTATTTGGGTTGGAAAAGCCCTCTCAGACCACTGAGTCCAGTCATTCCCCCAGCACTGCCAAGGCCACCACTGCCCCGTGTCCCCAAGTGCCACATCCACACGCCTTTCAAACCTCTCCAGGGATGGGGACTCCACCCTTGCCCTGGGCAGCTGTGCCAGGGCTGGACAATTCTTTCCATGAAAAAATTCCCCCAAATATCCAGTCTAAACCTCCCCTGGCACAACCTGAGGCTGTTTCCTGTCATCCTGTCACTTGTTCCCTTGGAGAAGACACCAACACTTTTTAAAAATTTATTTTCCCTGGATTATAGACAGCAAGACAACATGGGGAGAGCAGGCTCCAAGCAGGGGGCAGCAGCACCTCGAAATATGGCAGCAGATGGAGGCTGATGCCCAAACCAGCACTGCAGTGGGGTGATGGCAAACACACAAAGGTCACAGCACAGCTGTGACAACTTCAGGGCTGGCAAGCAGGGACGGGAAGGAAAACCCTGCAGGGTTATTCAGCCTGGAGAAGAGAAGGCTCCGGGGAGACCTTAAGAGCCCCTTCCCGTAATTAAAGGGGCTCCAGGAGAGCTGGAGAGGGACTTTGGATGAGGGTCTGGAAGGACGGGACAAGGGGGAATGGCTTCCCACTGCCAGAGGAGACTGGAGATGAGGAGAAATTCCAATGACAAGTCCACAGTATTGTATATTTTATTTAAATTAACAAAACTACATGTTTTCCAGGTTGCTTAAAGCATTCTGTAAAAACTGAACTCAACCTAAACAAACAAAAAAAAAGGATATATTTTAATAAGACCCAGGGACTATTTCAGAGACATATGAGTTGGGCTGAGGAATGAAGAAATAAAAAACCCACACACGCCCGCACACGCGCCCCGTAAACAAATTGTTAGTGTTTGACACAGAATTTGGTTTGAAAGCTGCAGCTCCCCGTTCGTGGGGGGCCTTTACAAAACGCAATGCTATAGTCTAAGCTGGAAAAGAACCCACGGACACAGCTATGGGAACAACATAAATATCACGTAAGAACCCAAGGGAAAAGGGATGGCAAAGTTGCAAAGTCGAGCGTTCAGCTGGGAACGTTCCGGGGTTACAGGGACGTGCGTCGATTTAATTCACTTTAATGGAGTAGCTACGACAGTAGGAACACTGCTTGGACCTGCTCTGCCTCCAGGGGCAGGGGAAGTTGGGCATCCCGGGGAGGGCAAACACAACAAACAGAATTGCTTTAAGAAAATCCAGTAGGAGCTGCAATTAATACACGGGGAGCAGGCCTTTGGCAGAGGGGTCTGCCTGGTGTGACACATCCTGACTGGGGGAGCCCCAGGTGATGGTGCCCAGCAATCAAACCCATGCAAGGTGATCTTGTGGTGCCACCCTCTCTTTTTTCATAGTACTGAGCTTTAATAAAAGGATGAGGGCAAATGTATAAATTCTGGGGTGGGAATTGTTATGGTACCTGGAATTGTGATGGTACCTGGGCTGACAGGAATGAGTTTCCCCTCTGTGCCTCCCCTATAACGCTTTAACACAGCGGCAGCAGATTCTTATCTTGTAGGCCGGAACTGGGAGGGTGTAGGGTGAGTTACACGTTACCAGCAGTTAACACAGACTCCTGCTCCTGCCTGCTCCTGAGGCTCTCTGGACGCTCCAGGCCATGGAAGGTGTGCCCCGAGCAGCACAGACCCTTCCCCACCGCTCACTTCTCTGAACTGGGCCCAGCAGGGTTCAGGTCAAGCCTCCACCCCGGATCAGTTCCCACTCCCCTCTCTTTGCCAAAGGCCTCCCAGCACGGGGCTGAGCCCGGTGCTGCGTCTGCTCTGGGAAAGCAAAGATCCACATTAGTGCGTGACCAG